AATCAGTTTTCCCAAGTCCACAAAGGCCGGATCCCAAATTCTCCATGGCAGAGATTGGTCGGGTTGTTCTTGCTTGCAGACTGGCAGGAGGGCGGTAGGAGTTGGTTTCAGCAGCTGGTGGGATTAGCCCATGCACACAGCAAAGTGAGGTCCCTGCTTGGGAGTCTTACAGTTCTTGCTAGGAAAATGGAATGGAGGTACCTGAGAAGTAGGAGGAAAAGTGGTGGCAAGTTGTCTTAACTGTAACTGCATATTCTTTTTCACTATTCCTTGTAAAACATTAATAATAAAAAATAGATGGGTGAGAGTACACAAATTGTAAGCTGTAGTGACATCCATGAGCTTATGGAAGGAGTTGCATGTAAGGTTTCTTTGCTGCCCCACAAAAGCACGTGTGGATGTGGTGCTGAGCAATATCATTAACATGTTACTCTTTTTTTCAGGCGAAGGGCAGAATTGTTGTGGTGCCAGGTAATGTTTTTGGTTTTTTTTATTGTCATCTGCAACAGGTCCTATAGTCCCTAGCCCCTGCTTCCTAGTCTCTTGCCCTCGGATGTGCTGTGTGAGCAAAAGCCACGCAGGCGGCTGGGGATGGCAGAGCCCTGCAGCTGCTGCTCTGGAGGATTTGGGAACAGATCTAGGTATATGGGAGAACATGAACCAAGACTTCTCCCATCACTTTTCACTGCCTGGATCTCCACTGTCCCAAAGACTGTCTTTTCCCTTCAGTGTAGGTGTTTTTTGTCCCTTAGTGAATAGGTCCCAGGGTGATGACAGGTCTGGGACAGTGGCTGTGTATGACATATCTTCCCACCAGGGGGTGGCATCACGGAGCGCAACCTGCAGAGGATTCTGGAAGGCTCCACTGCGTCTGAGTTTCACTGCTCGGCTCGCTCAGCCCGCGACTCGGGGATGAAGTTCAGGTAACTGATTATTTAGTTCTATTTGTTAGCAAAATCTGTGCAATGGAAAAGCTGGATTAATGGGAACATGAGTTTGTAGAACAGGCATAAATTTCAAACAGCTTCCTGGGTGCTAATTGCGCTCTTGTGGTTGGGATCATGATGCATGGCTCTGTATTCTGCAGTGTGTGAATCCAGCGGTGCTCCTCATCTGGATGTGAGTTCTGTGCAGAACTGGTCCCTTAGGGCGTTTCGTCTGCTACTGCTACCCTAGGTCTTGTGAGTGCACTTGTGTGGCACCTGGGAAGGCAGGTTCTCATGTAGTTGTCTTAAACCCTTAACACAAGCATGTAGGATTTGGGAGGCCAGTGGGATGTGCCTCTGAGGAATGGGTGAGGAATGGTTTACACTTGTCCACAGGTCTGCACTGGGTTTTGTGTTAATGCTGTTGTTCCTTGTCTTTGGATTATTCTTCTTTCTATTACTGTCTCATCTTCATTTTAGGTGGTACCAGCAGCTTCTCTGGTCACTGCTGAGACTAGGGGAGATGGTGGGTTTTAATTCGTGTCTTACTTGCCTGTACAACCTGCAGATAGTAACCACCGGTTTTCCTGACAGGAATCCAAATGTTGCCATGGGAGCGTCCTTCTCTGCCCCCGAGTACTCCATAAAGGTGGCTGATGTTGCCAAAGTGAGGACCCTGAACGCAATCGCAAAGAACATTCTGTAGTGGAAGGCACCGTGCTGGACAAGAGCGCTGGGACTCCAGGGTCTTCCCTGCCACATGGACAGATGGGTCCTGCTTCTGTCCTCAGGCTGCAGAGAGTGCAAACTAGGTGATGGAGCCTGACATCTCCTCCCTTGGCTTTCCCTGAATGACTAGTCCCTGGCCTGGAAACTTATGTTGGCCATTTTAAATAAAAGGACTCATTCCCAGATGTTGCAGCAACAAGGTGTTGGGCATTATCTGGGAGGAAGGAAGCTGAGCAAGTAGGGGGACTGAATTGTGTAGCACTGCATGTGATTGTCAAATAAACACTGCAGCTGCCCCCCTCTTTCTGTGCTTTTTGGTTCTGTTTGTGTTCTACAAGTGTGACTGTGATCCATGTTGCATAGCCTGAATTAAGCAGGCCTCTGCTGTACCAGAGGAGAATACAATCACATCCAGAATTCCAGGGAGGGAAATGGCTACAGCTGGAAAAAAAGCCTGCTGTGGTCAGCCAGTAGGATAGCTGGGGGTTAGCAATGGAGCAGCTGCTAGATAAAAGCACGTTGATAGGTAAAGGTGATAAACACATTAAGTTCTAATGGGAAGGAGTTTGCATATCTGACTGATGAGGTGAGGTAGTTGTGAGTGCTTGAGGCAGGGTGGGCATACTATGGAATACCTTGGAAAGACAAGGTACTTTTACTAAGGGAGTTTCCAGGTCCTTTCCTCAATGTGAAGAACTGTTTGTTCTCCAGATGGTGCTCAGGGGAATGTGCCTGTTTGGTTATTGCTGCCTACATGGAAGCCTTAGTTACCCTTCAAAATACCTACTGAAAGATCTGAATGGCATCAGAGTTATCCATTAAAAGAGTTGAGACCCAGAGAGAAAGCACCTCTGTAGCTGCCTGCTCTTCTCTAAATGATACAAAAGCTGAAGAGAATCCCTCTGACAGCAGAGATAGGAGACCTTCTTGGGAAGCAAAACCAGGTTTTTGGATGTCTGCTCATCTTGGCAATAGCCTGTGAGGATGTACAGGAAAATGTAGTATTTGACAAGGTGGCAGCACCTTTTGTCACCTTAAGCAGAATTGGGTCATTGAATACCTGTAACCAAGGTATATGTTCAGCCCAAAGGGTACAGCTGTCTTTTCACATGGATCCATCAGAGGTATCGGTGTCTCTCCAAAACACATCTTGGGAGCAGACCTGTAGTTCTCAACACAGGAGCTGGGAAGGGAATGGCTGCTCAGTACTGGTGTCAGAGCCTGCTGTGGCACTGATAGATGTGCAGGCAATAGGAAGGATCCAAAGTCAGAAGAAATGATTATTTGTGGTTGAGTTCAATGTAGTTCAGAATACCCGATTTAAGAGTTCATGGCTTATGTTGTAAGATTTCATGAGTCACAGTGATGATTACGATACCAGTAGCTCAATTAATGTGAGTATTCTGCTGACACAGCTCCCCCAGCATCATAAACAGTTTTTCTTTCCTTCTGCCTACATTTATAGAAAAAGGGAAAAAAAAAAATAAGGCTTGGGGTTAGACATGGGGTTACAACAGAACCAACCCTTCAGAAATAATGATGAGCAGTGAGGGCTGGACTAACTTGTCAGTTGCCTTGCAGAAGCCTTTGTCCTGGACCAGACCCTGTGTGAGACAGTTCTGAAGCACTGCTTAATTTTGAAAACCTAATTTACAAGATGATGGACAGCAGATGGGGAAAGGCAGGGGAGCACAGGGGAATGGTGTGGTATTGGCCAAAGGGGTCTTTCCACTTTGATTAGCTTGATCCCAGTGAATATTTTCTGGGTATTATAGTCAAAGAAGCTTTATGGAAAGAGCTGGAGGACAGTAAGGTGGTTTTGTGAGTTTAAAAACTAAAGGAGCATGTCCCAGGTATGAGGGTAGAGGAAGGGAGGGAGTGCTTGCTTTGAATATTAAAGATAGTTGGCAAACTGTGCTGAGCAAAGCACTTCAACTCTGAATGAGAGACCGAAGATGGGGTGAGGATGGGCTGTGACATACTGAAAACGAGACAAGTGATGGGACAGAGCATTAAATAGGATGTGTCACGAGCAAGTGGCAGCAGTGCTCCAGGTGGGTATGAGCAAGGCCACAGGACACCTGTGGCAGTAGAAAGAAGAATCCCATCAGCACTCTGAAGAAGGGCTGAGGAAGACTGCTTCATTCACTTATCTGTTGCTGCTGTCATGGGCAGCATATTCATTCTGGCCTGCAGGACCCAGCACTAGAGGTAGCTTTATCTATGAAAACAAGTGGATTTAATCAGAGAAACCGATAATAATTAGCCAGTGAACTGAACATTGAACCCTTCTCTGGCATTAATGATAAGGGGGTTGTTCCTGAGTAATTACTCACTGTATCATCCTTGACTTCTAAGTTACCTACTAAATCTATGAACAATGAGACAGCAGAATTCTTGCAGTCATGCTGCAGCCCCCTTTTACCTACTGATCCTCAAGAACGTGCATGATGAAGCAAATTCAGTTCTGGCCTTAGAGTATCACCACCTGTATCTGGCCCCACACTTCCACCTTTCTAACCAGTAGGGTGATGACGTAGTGGCAGTCACCCTCCTTGAGAATGGTTGTCTGGCCATCTGAGATGTTAGGAGTTGCTTTAGAAAGAAGATTCAAAGTCTCTTACGGGTTTTGTGGTCAGCTAGCTGCTATAACATCCAGACAACGCAGAGATGTGGGAAGAGAGATGCAAAAAGAAGAGCTGGGAAAGTCTTCAGGCTCTGCAGGCTGGAAGAAGCTGGTAAGAGGAACCCAGACCCTGGGGACTCGGGAAGACCCCTGCAGCATGCGGTCAGCTCAGCTACCAGATGCTGCAAGATCCTAGGCCTGGAGCACTGGTGGTGTCCTGGGCCTCCTTGCTGGGTGGCACATGAGAAAAAGGTTCCTGTTGTCTTTGTCTTCTGAGAGACCAGCCTTTGCTGGACTTTTTGGCAGCATTCAGCAGGCTTGTTCTGGCAGGAGAGGTCTGTTGCACCAAAGTAGTGTCTTTAGCGGGTCCATATGAGCTTGTTTCTGTTGGTGTGCATCAATGAAGGCTGTGGTTTCTGAGCAATGGCTGTGGTGTCCTGCAGTGACCCTGTGACAGTGGCTCTTTACATTTCCCCTTTGGTCTTTTTCTTCCTCTGTTCCCTTCCCCAGAGCACATGTGGATTCCAAAGCCCCTTTGGTCACCGCTTGGCATGTGGTGTTGAGCAATAGCACAAAGTTAACAATCAACTGTGTGTCATCAGGGATTTTGTCCCAGCACCACTTGAGGGTGCGTAGGGACTTTTGCCCCACGCATCCACCTAGGACTCTCACAGCCAGGCGCAGCGAGGAGAAAGAGCCACTGCCTCCTCTCCTGAACCATGTCAGCAGCCCTGGATGAGTTCTGCGGCTCTCTCTTTTGGGTAAGTGGCTGCATCACCCCCATCACCAGTTCTTGGTGTAGGATGCTCAGTGGAAGTGAGAGCAATAGATTCCAAGGCTCACAGCTGCTTCATCCAGTGGGACCCAACTGCTGGCAATCAGCAGAGGCTCTGCTATTTATCCAGGACTGCCATGGCACTGAGTGCTGTGCACTGCCTGCGTGGTGTTGACGCAAGCGACAGGTCCCTGAGTGAGCCCTGTCCTGTTTTAGCCCTGCAGCCCAGCTGGAAGCATAGGGCACCCTGCACAGACCTTTTGGGAATTAGTTGGTTCCAGCTGCTGTGGCTGGCTTGGCTCCAGCACGTGGTGGTTGTAGAGGAGGCTCTACCAGGTTCAGGCAGATAGATGGGTAAGGGGACATCACCTGGGACCTTGGCTGAGTGCTGAAATGCTCGGCCAGGAAGGTGGGTGTTGAGGAGAGGGGTGTGTTAGGGTGGGCAGGCACTATAGAAATGCTGGGTCTTGTGCCATGAGGGTCAAGACATCCCAAGTGACTTCTTGTCTGTCCTTGCTGCTCCCAGAATGCCTCCTACCTTGATCGCCCAGATGCCGACCTGCCCGTGTGTTTCCAGCAGACCGTGCTGGTCTGGATCCCCCTTGCCTTTTTGTGGATTTTGGGTCCATGGAAGGTCCTGCCCATGTGTAAATCCAGAGAGAAGAAATCGTCCATGACCAAACTTTACATCATTAAACAGGTAGAGAGGGAATGAAGGGGCACAGTTGGCAGGTGGCAGCAGCCTGGGATGGAAGGGTGGTGAGTGGAAAGCCTCTGGGCTGGAATCTGGTGTGGGATGGAGAGATGAGAAGTGCAGGAGAGAAGGAGCAATGTGCTAAGGCACCATCTGAGACAGAAACGTAAAGGCATATCTGCGACAGAGGGGATAACAGAGCAGGGATGCACTGGGAGGGAGGGCAGAGGTGTGTACCGGAGTCTCCCACCTTGTGGGCTGTTATCCTCCAAGCCTAAAATGTGGTAGTTCTCCTGTGGCAGTGCTCCAGCTCCACAGGGCCTTGGAAACCTCTCCCAGACCACGTTTGGGTTGGAAAGGGTGTAGTGGTGTATGGGACAGGGCTTTTATGCCCAACTGTGTTGTGCCCCAGTGGTTCCCAGTGCTCGCGGTGGGCTGGGTCTCCCCTCACGGCTGCTCCCGTCTCCCCGCAGGTGCTGACTACCTTGCTGATGCTGACAGCAGTGGCGGAGCTGGTCCTGGCGGTTGTAGAGGGAGCAGAGCAGGACCCCCTGCCAGCTGTGCAGTACACAAACCCCAGCCTGTACATCGCCACCTGGGTAAGGGATCAGGCAGTCCGTGTGCTGTGCCACGAAAGGGACAGGCTGTGAGGTTGCAGGGCCAAGCAGCAGAACACTTCTCTAGCACAGAGATGAGTGGGAAACCATGTCCATGAGGTAGATGTAGCCTGGAAAGTGGGTAGGGACTAGCCCTGAACTGGTGTGGGTGGTGCATGAGGGCAATAGTTTGAGGGCAGGTGTCTGTTTGTACGGTGCTCCTCCTTTTATCCTTAAAACAGGCATAGATACTGCGCCTGTGAGTGCAGCTGAGCTTTCTGGCAGAAGCCTTGGTAGCAGCAGTGTGGGGTTTGCAGGGACTGACTGCACAGCATGAACGCCAGACCATGGCTTGCTGCACTGATGTCTCACAGCTTCCCATGGGTTGACGCTCAGTTTTGTGTGGAGAGTCGGGAAGTGCCACAGGATACCCAGGAAGAGGAGAGAGCTGAGGACATAGGGGCTATTAGCTTGATGGAATATGTGCATGGAAGTTGCAGGTGTGTGAGTGTCCTGGGTTCAGCTACAGCAGTCATTTTTCTCCTTCTTAGTAGCTGGTGCAGTGCTTTCCAGACTTTCAGTCTGGGAACAACACTGATAACGCCGATGTTTATAGTTGTTGCTCAGTAATGTTTACTCTGACCAAGGACTTTCTCAGTCTCATGCTCTGCCAGGGAGGAGGGGAAGCTGGGAGGAAGCAGAGACAGGACACCTGACCCAAACTGGCCAAAGGGGTATTCCATACCACAGCACGTCATGCCCAGTATAGAAACTGGGGGAAGTTACCTAGAAGGTCCAGATCACTGGTCGGGTCGGGCTGGGTATTGGTCAGTGGGTGGTGAACAATTGTATCCTCTCCCCTGGTTATTTCCCTTATCATTATTCTTATTGGGTGGTAGCAGCAGTGGTTTGTATTATACCTTAGTTACTGAACTGCTGTTATCTCAACTGGTGGGAGTTACATTCTTCTGATTCTCCTCCCCATCCCTCCAGGAGTGGGGGGAGGAAGAACAGGGGAGTGAGCGAGCGGCTGCGTGGTTCCCACCGACGAGGCTTAAGCCCCGACAGTGAGACATGGAACAGTCTAACAGTCTTGAAGCCAAAATGTTCAAGAGCTACACTTAAAAGCAAAAGTAACACCCCTGTTTGCTGTCTTTCATAGTTTGTCATTTATTTTCACATGCAGAGTTCATGTGAGATTATAAGGCAAGGGAACTGCTCAGGGAGGCTGTGCTGCTGATCTGGCTTTAGTTCCAGGTCTGAAGGCAATATGCGACAGACAGGGTGTGACACCTCACAGCTGGGCATGTCTGAAAATTTGGGGTGAGAACAACTAAAAAGAGAAATAGCATCAGGGTACCTTTAGCCCTTGCTTTTCCCATGAGGGGTCTGATCTTACGTCTTCTTAAAAAAAAACCTTTGCACTATGCAATTAACTCCAAGGTGCAGACCTGGTCCTTCAACCTCACTTAAGCCTCTGATTTTCTTTCCCTCAGCTCCTGGTCCTGCTGATCCATGATGCGCGACGCTTCTGCTTGTGCAGAGACTCGGGGATACTTTTCTGCTTCTGGGTGCTGTCCCTGCTCTGTGGTATATTGCCGTTCCAGTCACTCCTCCGGAGAGCCCTGCAGGTTGGGTTTGGCAGGAAGCTCTCTGCTTCCCCACGGTCTTGTTCTGTCCCCAAACAAAGTCCCTTCAGACTTCATCTTTTGACAACCTCTCAGTGGTATCACTGAGGTCCCAGCTGCCTCAGGGACCTTGGGAAACCAGAAGAGACCTGAGAAAGTTTGAATCGATCCCTTTCTCTCTGGAGAGGCATAAGAACCAATTTCTCCTCTTAAGGACTTCAGGGAGGAGGTCAGGGAAAAGCAGGGAGGGGTGGTGAAGGGAAGCTGAGCCAGGACCCAGAGTGAGTGTTGCACAGCCCTGTTGGGCTCAGCTGTGTTCACTGTTCTGGGGGTGAACCTTGTTCCTGAGCAAAAGATGGCCTTGAGATGCCCCAGCAGTCACCCTGGGCTCTATTCTTGCAGGCACCAATCTCCGACGTGCCACGGTTTGTCCTTTTCTTCATCTCCTATGGGCTCCAGCTGCTGCTCTTCCTTGTCTCCGGCTTCTCAGACATTGCCCCAGAAGCAAAGGAAATCAGGAAGAAGGTGCGAGGTCCATGTGGGAGTGGGCTTGGGCTCAGAGTACCACATCCTGGCTGGCATTGCATTGGGGCAGGGTGGGCTCCAGGACTCCTCCTAGCCCCTGTGGGAGGGAAGACCTGAGAGCTTCAGCAAGCGACACAGCAAGAGCTAGAGCCTGCACCTTGGGGCATCTGCATGTGTGTCCAATGGCAGCTGCTTCTGGCTGTGAGATGGGTTGGAGCTGGCACAGTTTGAAACCTCTGTGGTTCCTTAGTGGCTGGGGGTGCTGAGTCAGCTCTTGTCAACAACATCCCTCAGCATCAATGATCTCTTGGTTTGTACCCTAGAACCCAGAGGTGACGGCCTCCTTCCTGAGCTCCATCACCTTTGAATGGTACACTAGGTAAGCAGGGCCATGTGGGAGGTTGGGCTGGTGAAATGCAGGGGTACTTTAGGGCTGGCCCAGCTCTGTTTGGGGGAGCCATCAGCACAGGATGCTTGGAGCTAATTGTGAAAGGCACCACATTCAGTGCAGCCTGAGCTTAGGGTTGTGAAGGCTCTGCATTTGCAGCAAGGATTCTCCAACTGGTGTAGTGCAGAAACTTGCTGAAGGAAGATTCCTCTGCCCCACAGCACCATTTTCAAGGGCTATCGGAAGCCCTTGGAGATAGAGGATATCTGGGAATTGAAAGCTAAAGACAAGACACAGTCTATTTGTGCTGTTTTTGAGAAGAACATGAAGACTGAGGTGAGGAAGGCACAAGCAGAGCTGGAGAAACGGAAACGCAAGAAAAGACTCCGGGAAGGTGACTCGGACCATGCGAACAACATAAGCAAGGCCCAGAGCCAAGACGTCCTGGTGCTGGTAAATCCCTTCCTACTCTTGGCCTTGCATGGGACTGAGAGATCCAGGTGCAGCCCTGGGGACTAGGGTTACCTCACCTCCCAGAAGCCCCCTTTGCTGGCTTTTCCTCAGTTTGATTCTGCAGGGCCATGGTCAAGGATGGGGGAACCTATGACAGGGTCTTACCTGTCTTCAGCAGATCCCCATGTTTTGAGAGACCGAGAAAGTCTCCATCCTTCTGCCCTACAGAAAGGCAGGAACCACCCTCAAGTCTGCAGTACAAGCACCTCCCTTATCTCTGTCTTTCCCTACACCAGACATCTCCCAGCAGTGAGGTCAGAGTGAACATCGCTCTGTGATCACCTCTGGCCTCTGCTTCTTCCTGGGGTGCCTGATTTTTGGCCTGAGAGGTTCAACTGGTCTGGGTTTTGCAATTGTCTTTGCCACACAAAAGAGGTATTAATACTGAGGGCGTATGACATGAACAGAGACCAGTGAGAGGGAACAAGATGAGAGGTAGAGCTAAGGCTTAATTCAGGATACCTGGTCAGGGGTGCGTGGTGCTGCCCTGGGAGCATCCTTGCAGGTGCAGGGAGCTCACACAACCAGCTCTTTTACTTCTGTGTGGGCTTCCTTCTAGGAGGAGAAACAGCCAAAGAAGAAGAAGAAGAAGGATGACAAAGGGGACTCGAGCCCTTGCAAGGATTATCCCAGGGGCTGGCTGTTGAAAACCCTGTGCAAGACCTTCTGGCAGAACCTCCTGCTGTCGGTGGCTTTCAAGGTGGTGCATGATGTAATTGTGTTTATCAGCCCCCAGCTGCTCAAGTGAGTCCTTTCTCTCTGTCCATGTCCATGCTCTGTCCTGGCTTTGTACCCAGCCCCACCATCTCCCTGTGTGCACTGCATTCAACCCCACCATCTCCATAGGTGTATGTCTCCCAGCCCCACACCGTGGGGACTTTTTTGTGCCCTCACCAAAGGTATGAGAATGTGCTGGGTTACAGTTTAATGAAGAACTGATCAGAGCTGGTTGCCAGCTCTTACGGATTGTATCCTGCTTCCTGCTCCCTGCATCATTTGTCATGCAGTCCTGCTCCTTCCCTGGACACAATCTCTTCTTTGGGGCCTCCATGAATCAGCCCAAGTCACCCCAACAGGACCTGCCCGGTTTGTTCTGCAGAGCTGCACAGTGTCTGTGGATGATCTGACATTAGTGACCCTGTGCGGAGTGTGAAATGCATGTTGTTCCTGGCACAACAGGGACACAAGGCAGAGTGGAAGTCCCTTGCTTGCTGAGCATCGAGCCACCTGTCTGCGGCAGGGTGTCTCTCGCCCCTCTCATGAGCGTGCTCTTCCCGTGTTGATTTGGGGTGTCCCGCTTCGGTCTGTCTCCGTAGGCTGGGGGCCTCATAGGCTTCTTTACCTTCCAGGCTGCTGGTTGCCTTTGTGTCGGATGAGGAGTCCTTTGCCTGGCAGGGCTATGTGTATGCCATCCTGCTTTTCCTGGTGGCACTGATCCAATCCCTCTGCCTGCAGCAGTACTTCAACTTATGCTTCCAGCTTGGCATACAAGTGCGTGCCAGTCTCATTGCTGCCATCTACAAGAAGGTTGGTATGGCCCTGTCATCACTCCTGTTGGCTTCCTCTAAGATGGGCTGAGGATACCGGCATCTGTTGCCTGCCCCATCAGCCTAGGGCAACTGGAGTGTATGCCCTGTATGCACAGGGAGAGCTTGGCTTGTGGGACACCCACCCAGCACTGGGGACACTGTTGGTGCTGGTTCTGTCTGAGATCTGCATGCTGTAGCCTTGTGCTTGGCAGCTACCAGGGGCCAAGGGATGTTTCTCTTCAGGGCAACTGCTGCTAGGATTGCTGCAGGGGGATGTGTTTCTTTGACCCCAGCATCCAGTGGCTCCTGGTGTGCAGGCAGTGATGACAGCACCTATGGCCAGCGGAGGCACTAGGACCAAACCCAGGAGCAGTTTCTGCCTGGCCTGCTAATTCCCTGCTCTGCGCCATGCTGCTGGCATCCAGGCTGCTCCCAGCCTGTGCTGTGACTGTGCTTTCTCTCTCCAGTCACTCACCATGTCTGGTGCCACCCGCAAGGAGTCTACAGTGGGAGAGACTGTGAATCTGATGTCAGCTGATGCCCAGAGGTTCATGGACATGGCCAACTTTGTTCACCAGCTGTGGTCATCCCCCCTGCAAATCATCCTGTCCATTGTCTTCCTATGGGGAGAACTGGGCCCCTCTGTCCTGGCTGGCCTCGTGGTCATGGTGCTGCTCATCCCCATAAATGGGTTCCTGGTTGCCAAGTCCAGAACCATCCAGGTCAGTGGTGGGTGCAAGTTCCTCACTGGCCTCCCACTCCTGAGGCTCACTGTTGCTCCCCTCACTCATTTCCACCCTCCCTTCCCTTCCCTGTTTTGCTGTGGATCTTTCCCAGCCTAGGAAGTTCATCTGACATGGGCCAGGTGTGTCTCTAACCTGAGCCAAGGGGTGATCACCTGAGATGAGCTGGAGGCCAGTTCTACCATCACACACAGCTGAACTTGAACAGGGCTGGGTGCAGCTTTGAAGATTTAAAGCGAGATATTACCAACCATAAAATAAAGCTTTAGCTTCTACTTGATGACAGGGTGCTGGTTTTCCCCATGTTGCTCAGAGCCCCAGGGAGCCAAGATCCAGCTTTGTGGGATGGTTTCTCTGTGCTCTGGCGCCTGCCTTTCCCTTCCCTGTGGCAGCCCAGATGTATTTGAAAGAACGAGCTGCTGTCTGGTTTAGGTGACCTCTGGCTCTTCTTTTTGTAGGTGAGGAACATGAAGAACAAGGATGAACGAATGAAAATAATGAGTGAAATCCTCAATGGAATCAAGGTGAGCAGTGGAGTGGAGATCCCCAGGCAGCTGCTGCACCCGTCGTCTTGGTGCACTGTACCTGGAGGTGTCACACCTGTATAACCGTATACAGCATCAGTGTTATAGTCTAGTAACAAGCCTCAGTCTCTGCAATTCCCTTGGCTTCCTCATCTTTTGAAAGGTTGGATAGGGAAGAGTTCTGGGTACCTGGACCAAGACTTGGGAACCAAGAGAGGGTTTTCTGGGGGTTTCCTGGGTGGCTGTGGTGCTGAGCTGGCTGCCATGGTGCAGAGGAGCTGGTAGTGACCAGTAAGCCGAGGATGAGGTAGTGGGTGTGCTGTGGGCAAGTGCTATAAGGTATAGGGCAGTTCAGGAGAGGAGAGATGCAGTGGCCAAGCAGGCTTCTGAGCAAGCCAGATGCTGGCCACCAGTAGGCTGAGTGTGAAGGCCAGCAGCTGCTCATCCTGCTCATCCCACAGATCCTGAAGCTTTTTGCCTGGGAGCCCTCATTTGAGAAGCGAGTCAATGATATCCGGGCACGTGAGCTCAAGCACTTGTTGAAGTTCAGTTACCTGCAGGCAGTCTCCGTGTTTGTCTTCACCTCTGCCCCCTTCCTGGTGAGTGCCAACAAGCCTGGGGAAGGCTGCTCCTTCCTTAGGGCTGGGGTTGGGCTGTGTCCAAGGGGGTGGGAAAGATTGGGAACCTCAGCTGGAGTGCTTCTGCAGCAAGGAAGGGTCTGGCTGACAGATGCTTGGGGTGCAGAATATGGTCCTGGCTGCTGGCAGGAGAGTTGTGATGGAAAGGGGTCCCATCAGAGTGGTGAGATGGGGCCCAAAGAATAAGGGAAGCAGAAGGGGACCAGGTCCCTGTCAGGATGGCCCTGCTGAGGCCATAGGGGATCATGAGGGTCTGGGCTACACACAGCTACACTGATGGTGCCTTTCCCTGCTATCTGTCCTAGGTCTCCTTGGTCAGCTTTGCTGTCTATGTGCTAGTGGATGAGAACAACATTCTGGATGCACAGAAGGCCTTTACTGCCATCTCCCTTTTCAACGTGCTGCGCTTCCCCATGACCATGCTGCCTTTGGTTCTCTCTTCCGTGGTGCAGGTCAGCCCTCACACTGGGCACAGGGATCTTATGATACCTCTGCCCAAACCAGCACATGGGGCTCACATGTGTGATGGGCCTGGGCCTTGGACACCCAGGGGTCGGTGCATGGGATTCTGCCAGCAGTGGGTGGTTCAGGACTCACGTATGTGACACAGGGGCTCAGAGGCTGGTGCTGGTGCTTGGGTGAGGGCTGTGTGTATGGGGTGCTCTGCTTATGGAGCCATCTTCTTTCTGCCGTGGCAGACCAAAGTGGCGAATGCGAGGCTGGAGCGTTACCTGGGCAGAGAAGACCTGGACACCTCAGCCATCCACCACAGCCCCATTGAAGGCAGGTTACTCCTTGTGGGTCATGGGCTGGCCCGACCAGACCCACCCCTGGTCTTCCCCAGCCCTGACAGGAGGCTCTTTTCTGACAGGCAGCGCCGTGCGTTTCTCGGAGGCCACCTTTGCCTGGGAGCAGGATGGGGGCGCCGCGATAAGAGAGTGAGTGCTCTGTGGGTGCTGGGGCAGATGGGTGGGGATTTGGAGTCCTTCTGTGTGTTAGCTGGGGCTGGCAGTCACCTCTCACAGTGCTGCTAGAAGCGAGTGCCCCAGAGACACTGCTCTGTGCTGGTCCCATTTAGGAGATGGCAGATGACCTGGCAGTGCTGATACCCTCTTGTCTTTGCAGTGTCAACCTGAACATCACACCTGGGAGCCTTGTGGCAGTGGTAGGAGCTGTGGGCTCAGGCAAGTCTTCGCTGGTGTCAGCCATGCTTGGGGAGATGGAGCATATCAAGGGACACATCAACATCCAGGTGAGAGGAGCTGGCTGGCAGAGGAGGCTGCTTGGAAGCTCAGTGGGGAGGCAGCAGGGTAGGATTGGTCATAGAGTGGTGCGTCCGGGCAAGGACAGGGTGCAGGAGGTGTCAGTGCTCAGGCTGATGCTCTGATGAGGTAGCTATTCTTGTCTCTCTCTTTCCAGGGCTCCCTAGCTTATGTCCCGCAGCAAGCCTGGATCCAGAATGCCACACTGAAGGACAATATCCTTTTTGGGTCAGAACTGGATGAAGCCAGGTATCAGCAGGTCATCAAAGCCTGTGCCCTCCTTCCAGACCTGAAACTGCTGCCTGCGGGTGACCAGACAGAAATTGGGGAGAAGGTATCAGCCCTGGGTACTATGGGTTGCCCAGAGCACTGCAGCAGGGGACAGAGCTGTTGCCCTGTGCTGGCCCAGTGCTCAGAGATGTCCTTTCCTTTCCAGGGCATTAACCTCAGTGGGGGCCAGAAGCAGCGAGTCAGCCTGGCCCGGGCAGTGTACAGCAATGCAGACATCTATGTCCTGGATGACCCATTGTCTGCTGTGGACGCTCACGTTGGCAAGTACCTCTTTGAGCACGTGCTGGGGCCAAAAGGGCTGCTGCAAAAGAAGGTGAGCACTCCTACCCTCCTCCCCACCACCCAGCCAGGCAGGGATGGCACTGGAATGGTGTCTGGAAGTCTGAGGTTGCTTGCTTGGGAAGAGAGGGGTCATGTGGCTTTCTAGCACAGGGGCTGCAGCAAGCAGGAGAGGCCTTATGGGTCGCCAGAGGGGTGTCCTGTGTCCCCATAGCCAGGTGTTCATAAGCAGAGAGGCCAACAAGTAGGGGATGGAGAGCCTGCAAGCCCATGCTTGGGGATCACAGAGTTCTCTGATGCTCACTACCCTGCAACCGCTTTATTGCAGACACGGATCTTGGTGACGCACAGTATCAGTTTCCTGCCCCAGGCTGATAACATTGTGGTGATGGTGGCAGGAGCAGTGTCTGAGCAAGGCTCCTATGGCACCCTGCTTGTGAACAGGGGGGCCTTTGCCCAGTTTCTGAACTTGTATGGCAGCCAGGAGGAAGACGCTTCAGAGAGAAACACCACAGGTACTGGGAACACAACGGGGCTGTGTGTGTGTCCTGGGAATATGAAAATCCCAAGACCTGATCTGTCAGTCTGATTTGGCTCTGTCCAGCCCAAATGCCAGTGGTGGCTGCTGTGAATCCTTCCCAGCTTCTGACAGTCTGCAGCCCAAGGACTCTGGGCTTTGATGTCTATGATTTGCATCCAGGCATTGGTTGAACAGCCAGCAAAGGACCTGTCTTATTTTTTTACTCCCTTTTCAGTTAATTTATGTTTTATGGGTCCTGTAATCTTATGTGGCAACAGGCTCCATACCTTAGTGATGCTGGGGTGAGAAAGATCCTTTAGGTTCATTCTAAACATTCTGTTGAATAACAGTTCATCTTTATCATGTCCTCCAGTGCTATGAGGAGTGGTGTCAGTCAGGTGGATGCTCACCCCAGTTTTCCAGTTGGAGCCTGGCTTTTCCCAGTCCATCCCCACAGGACCCACCTCCATCTGCTCAAAGAGATGCTCCTGAATAGGAGTGGTAGGAACTTCCAGATCTTGCAGTTATTAACTAGCACAAGTCTCTGCTTGAGGTCCCACCAGTGGTACTGGGTCAAGTCAGCAGCAGGGACTACCTCCGTGCAGGCCTTTAGCCCTGTGTCCCCTGTCAGTCCTCCCTCCAGCACAATGGATTTCTTTCTCTTGCTGCCGTACTGGGCTTGCAGGAGTGTTACAGAAGGTGTGATGTCTGCTGGTAGAACAGGCCGAGCCTGGGGTGTAGCAGATGTGTGGTGCATGGGATCTGCTCTCTCAGTGTCTAAACCTACCTTCCCTCATTCCTGTGCTCATAGGTGTTACTTTAGTTGGGGATGAAGAGCAGGATGATGAAGGTATTGAGCCTTGTGTGGAAGAGGGCCCTGATGATGTGGTGACCATGACCCTGAAGCGAGAAGCCAGCATCCATCGGAAGGAGTTCAGTCGCAGGTGACTGAAGACCTGAGCTCTCAGCTCTCCCTTGCCCCCTGCACAGCACCCTTGGAGACAGGGGTCTGGGGGCTTCCTGGGGAGGTTCCTGCTGGAAGCCTCCCTCCCTCCCTGCTCCTATCACCAGCTGGAGCATCTGATCTTGCCTTTACTTACATCAGTGTGTCACAGCCTTACCCTGTGGTCTTCCCTGAAACTCATGCTGCTGGCTGGTTCTGCTTTTGGGGATAAGGGCTATGATTTCATGGCTCCAAATGCCTCGGGCTTCTACAAAGCTGCCTCAGTTAGGACATTATTTCCCATAGGGCTCTAGCACTTGAGTCCCAATGCAGCATAGGGGTGGGCCCCCATGAGAGTAAGACCCATCCAACACCTAATGGTGCCCATCACCTCCCTGCAGCATTAGTAAAAGCAGCACGAATTCCTGGAAGAAGGCCCAGGAGGAGCCCCCCAAGATGGTGAAGGGCCAGAAACTGATTGAGAAAGAAGCTGTGGAAACTGGCAAGGTAAAGGAGGATGGGTGGATGGGTGGATGGGTGGGTTAAGCGCTGTGCTGCCCTGGCTCAATGCTGCAAGACCCAGCTGTGGCTCAGAGAAGCCGGTGCTTGTGGCCTCACTGCAGCCAAGAGACACTGAAAGACACTGAAGAAGACCAAGTGGTGGGCAAGGTGGTGGAGGGGGGAGCACTGTGGGGCAGCAAGGCAGGAGTCCCAAGGTTGTGCTGGGTGTCACTGGCTGTGTTTGCTGGGCAGCGGTGATGGGCTGAATTGGTCTACAGGTGAAGCTCTCCATGTACCTGCGGTACCTGCGTGCTGTTGGCTTGTGGTATTCTTTCTGGGTTGCCATGGGCTATGTTGGGCAGTACGTCGCCTACGTGGGTACCAACCTGTGGCTCAGCGCCTGGACGGACGATGCACAACGCTACCTGAACCAGACCTATCCCGTGGAGCAGCGAGACCTGCGGATCGGTGTCTTTGGTGTGCTGGGGGTGTCACAAGGTGAGTGTGGGAGCACAGGGGATCCCATTCACCTCAGCTACGAGCGACATGGCTTGCAAGGTCAGCAGCCAGCAGTGCAGCAAGGAGCAGCGGTGCCAGCATCGTGCTCCTTTGCATGCTGCTGCCTTTCTTCCAGCTCCTGAGTGAACTAGAGACAGATACTAGCCTGAGGCCAGCATAGATTGTCTCAGGAAGTCTGTGTAGCACCTTAGGTTGAAGACTGTCCTAAATCAGTTTGGAGACAGGGCCCAAGGCTTTCCAAGAGGGTTCAGTGTTCTTCCCCTGTGGTGGGACACAGTTACTGGGGCCTCCCAAGAAGATGGGATGCGAGACTATCACAGTGGCTCACTGCAGAGCTGCTGCCTTGGAGCTGCTTGATTTGTACCTTGAGCCAAAGGGTGCCTGGGGCCAGCGTAACATACGAGTTGGTGATGACCATCCTGTGCCGTCCTTGCAGCTCTCTTCCTGCTCTTTGCAACCATCCTGTCTGCCTATGGTGCCACGCGAGCCTCCCGGGTGATGCACCAGCAACTGCTCAGCAACATCCTGCGTGCGCCCATGAGCTTCTTTGACACAACTCCGACAGGCCGCATTGTGAATAGGTTTGCCAAGGTAAGAGAACAGCCCCAACAAGGAGAAGCTGTTTGTTCCAGCAGGTATGGAGAGCATTGGGTGGCAGCATAACCCTGTTGCTGTTCAGCACTGAACTGATAAGACCAGATCAGGGCCTGGAAGGGGCCAAAAGGGTGTTGTGGATGTGAGGCTGACTGTGAGGCAAACCACATCCTGGGCTATGCTAGAAGAGCGGCCAGCAAATCACAGGAAGTTATTGTCCCCTCTGATCAATGCTAGGGGGGCTGCACCTGGATAGTGTGTGTCCTGTTTTGGGACCACTTGGTCAAGAGGGAAATGTGAAGAGGGTCCCAAGTAGATTATCAGGAGAGGTAGGAGCCTACAGGTCATGTCCCATAATGAGATGTCCTTCTGGTTATGGGCTCTGAACAAATATACAGTCTTTGCTGTGTAAATGAAACTCATAAAACAAAGAGACAGTAAGAAAGGAGTGAGAATACAGACAAGTAGTTTCTAGTGTGCTGCTACTCCACCTCTTCCTTTGGTGCCATCTCTTAATTTGGGGGAATAAAAATCTCTTGAGAGCAAGCCTATGGGCCTGCTAGGTTTACTCTGAGATGAGAAGTATGTGGTGCCCAGACAGCAGATGGATGATGACTGGCTGGAGACCTGGGTGCACCTGCATGGACCTGGAGTCAGCCCTGTCCCTCTTTCAGCTTTAATTCCTGCTCCTGCATCCTCAATCCAGATGAAGATGCAGTTCCCAAAGGTAGTCTGTGCAAAGATGGATTATTATAGAAAGCTTCTCGGTTAAATCAGCCATTCCCAGATGAAGAGCTGTGGCCCTAACTGGGCTTGTGACCCTAACACCAATTCAGCGTCATCCAATATTCTTGCAAGTGTCTGGCACTGTGTTGCCTTATGAGTGTGTAGGAACCTGTATGTGCGGGTTTTGGGTTCCTCCTTCTCTCTCAGCTCACTGACCACTTCTCCACATTTCTCCGTATGCTCCAGGACATCTTTACAATAGATGAGACTATCCCCATGTCCTTCCGCAGCTGGCTCTCCTGTCTTATGGGCATCATTAGCACACTGCTCATGATCACCTTGGCCACCCCATTCTTTGCTGTCATTATCATTCCCTTGAGCATCTTCTACTATTTTGTGCTGGTGAGTAACTGCGGCTTGAGAGAAGCTTCTGCCCTGCTTAGAGCAGTATCTTGGTCACTGCTGGGCTTTGTGTTGGTAACCAAGCTGTGTCGCTCGTTTCAGCGCTTCTATGTCTCCACGTCACGCCAGCTACGGCGCCTGGACTCTGTCACCAGGTCTCCCATCTACTCCCACTTTGGTGAGACAGTGTCAGGTCTTTCCGTGATCCGGGCTTATGGACACCAAGAACGGTTCCTGCAGCAAAATGAGATCATTATGGACATAAACCAGAAAAGTGTTTACTCCTGGATAATCTCAAATAGGTGAGTTTTACCCCTTGGGCCCCTTATGCACAGCCTGCAGCACCTCTGGCCAGGAACTTCTGGGTTCTGAGGGAGGTCCCTGAGATGTTGCAGTCCTTCCTCTTGATCTCAGGTCTCAGGGTCTCCAAAAGAACTGGGGGAGCTTGGGCTAATGTCACCATCTTGTAGGAAGAGAGATTTTAAGATGATTTGGAAAGCCGGAGTGTGGCCCCTGTGAGGTGTCCAGAGCCTGAACAGGGTGAGCTGCCCTCTCAAGGGCTGAGATGCTTTTGGTGGGTTTTGGGAAGAGGCCAATGCTCCAGGTCAAGTGGGAGTGCAGCAGGGGTGCTGTCTGGTGTTGGTGTCGTACTAGTAGATGCTTTGGGTGTGTGAGGGTTGTACAGCTGGGGCTCCTCTGATGCATGGCATTACCAGCACACGAGGTTACATGTGAGACATGGACTGACAGATGAAATGAACCTGCTTGCAGAATTGGCCACAGATCACATGCAGGTGCAGGTACCATGTGTACAGTGCTGGGTTCAGGCCTGGGTGCGCAGGGATGCTGGTGGGGTGCTGGTCTTACTGGTGGGCCCTGTGCTGGGCACAGGCAGATGCCTCTCCCATCACCCCTCAGCCTCCTCTCCCGGTGCAGGTGGCTGGCCATCCGTCTGGAGTTTGTTGGGAGCCTTGTGGTCTTCTTCTCCGCACTTCTAGCCGTGATCTCAAAGAGCACTTTGGAGAGTGGCATTGTGGGTCTGTCTGTCTCCTCTGCCCTCAATGTGAGTCACTGAAAGCTTCTTCTGGTTCCAGGACAGGGCTGTTCTGCAGGATGCTGCCCTGCCTCCAGCTCTGATCCATGGAGAGGGATTAGCTGGGGTGTCCCATCATGTGGGGAGCTGCTATGGAGCCAGGGAAGCATACATCCCAGTGTGAGGGGGGAACATGGGAAGGAGCAACATTCTGCTATGGATCAGAGATGCCGCAGCAAAGCTTTTGAAGGGCTGGGGAGATGAGGCTGTGGCTGGGGAGTGGAGAGCTAGGGGCCAGGCCAGGGATGCTCATGCCCAGGCCGAGTTGAGGTGTAAGGTCCTGGGTCCCACTGAGCTCTGCATCCTCTGGCTTTGCCATGCAGGTGACCCAGACACTGAACTGGCTGGTGCGGACGTCTTCGGAGCTTGAGACGAACATTGTGGCTGTGGAGCGGGTACATGAGTACACGAAGGTGAAGAACGAGGTGAGGAGACCAGGGTCCAGACAAACACTTGCCACACAGCTTGGTGCTACCCAGCACCAAAGGGTGCAGCCCTCCTAACACTCCCGTGTCCCCAGGCTCCGTGGGTGACAGAAAACCGTCCACCCCATGGCTGGCCCAGCAAAGGGGAGATCCGGTTCATTGACTACAAAGTTCGGTACCGACCTGAACTGGAGCTGGTTCTTCAGGGGATCACCTGCAACATTGGGAGCACTGAGAAGGTGAGGACTCCTCTGCCCTCACTGTGCTCTTTCCAGGGTGACACTGTGTTAGAATTGGGTTTGTCCTCTTGGCTTCAGCCTGTGGACTGGGGACAACTGGTGATGGGATGTGGTTCCTGGGGGCTGGAGCTGCAGGGCAGGGACAAAAGGAGACAGTCTGGAAGATGGGAAGGCCCACCAGACCAACATGGAGAGCATCTGCCCTGTTTCCTTCCACCCTGGCAGCTGGTCTAAATCACTACTTCCACAGGTTGGGGTTGTGGGCCGGACTGGGGCTGGAAAATCCTCCCTCACCAACTGCCTCTTCCGGGTGCTGGAGGCTGCTGGCGGGATGATCCTCATTGACGAGGTGGATATAGCGACGATTGGCCTTCATGACCTGCGCAAAAACCTCACCATCATCCCCCAGGTGAGCTGCTCCACACCTTCCCTTGTCCCACTGGTGCATGGGCTCCCCAGGCTCTGTTCCCTGGGCATTGCTCTTAGTGTGCCCCTCAGTGCTGCAGTGCCCAGGACCTGTGAGCATGCTGTTGCCGCCTCCCCTGCCCAGCTGCAGGCAGCAGTAGGGGCTGGGTGTGGCCCGACTCAGGGGGGTAGGGGCTGGATGTGGCCAGACTCAGGGGCTGGGAGCCATTGCTGAATGGCCGTGGCATGGCTGAACACGGCGCTGTTCCTGACAGGACCCCGTGCTCTTCACTGGCACTCTGAGGATGAATCTGGACCCCTTTGACCAGTACACAGACGAGGAGGTCTGGAAGGCCCTCGAGCTGGCCCACCTGAAGACATATGTGCAAGACCTTCCCGGGGGGCTGCTCTATGTTGTGAGCGAGGGAGGGGAGAACCTGAGGTGAGCAGATGACTTGGGGCATGCCCAGCTCCCCTCCCTTCCCCTCGTCCCAAGAGCCAGCCTGGAACAGCAGCCTCCAGCAGTGGCTGCCCAGGGACCAGGGCACAGAACCTGGGAAGGAAGGTGGGAGAAAGCAGTCCAGGAATCAGGGCTGTGGGGGACCCAGCATGAGCCAATCCTCCATGGTGGCCCAGAGAGCAAGACACTGAGGGACGTGGTGCTCAGGGTGGCAGGTGATCAGTGGGGGAAGGCCAGGGAGAGCTGGGCAGGCATGCACTGGGGTCAGGGCAGTGTGTGGCAGTAGCTTGCAGCAGCTCTGCTGGTGTCCACCTGGTAACTTGTATTCCCTACCTCATCCCAGTGTGGGGCAGAGGCAGCTGGTGTGCCTGGCCCGGGCCCTTCTCCGCAAAGCCAAAATCCTCATCCTGGATGAAGCAACAGCAGCTGTAGATCTGGAAACTGATCATTTAATCCAGACAACGATCCGGAGCGAGTTTGCTGACTGCACTGTCCTTACTATTGCCCACCGCCTCCACACCATCATGGACAGCAACAGGTACTGTGGGACAAGGGGAATGGGGATCTGGACTCCTAGGATGCGAAGACAGGTGGCCAGCAGCAGAGCAAGGATGCAGCCAGAGGGGCAGGGGTGGATGCAGTCAGCCTGGGGCCACAATATACAAAGGTTCTAGGAGAGAAAAACAGAGGGATGGGACGGGTGTCCATGCAGTAGTTATACCTTTCTGGGGAGAAACACTTTTGGGGATCCTTCTTTACAGCAACAGGCCATAGAGGTGTTTGTCACAGGGAGCAGAGCTGTGCCCTCCTCACCTCTGCACTGAGAGGACGTGAACCACACAATGCAGCTGCAGGAGGGGTGAGGGTCGCTGGGTTGTAGCATTGCTGCCAGCAGCACTCTCGGCTCAGATCCCAGGAGCTCAGGGCTTCCCATTTTCTGCTGCTAGGGTGATGGTGCTGCAGGCTGGGAGGATTGTGGAATTCGACATACCCGAGGAGCTGCTCAGGAAGCAGGGAGTGTTCTCCTTGATGGCAAAGGACGCCGGCATCACAAGCACAGAAACCACCATGCTGTAGGTGGAGCGAGCAGCGTGCAGCGTGCACACGGGCAGCTCGTTCCTGCTGGCACTCACCAGGCAGGCACCGGCATCTCCTGGCAGCAGGGAAGCGATGAGGGTGGTTTCTCTGGGACAGAGGATGTGGACTCGTGAGCTGTTAACCTTGCTCCCACACCCTGCCTGCTGTGCACACCAGGGTCTGGAGCTGCCTGATTTATTCCAGGATAGAAGGGAAATGTTGTCTGCCAGGCAGGGAGACCATGACCCCCTGGGGGTCTTAGTTTTTGTACTTCACCATGCCAGGGAGAGATGCTTTAGCACCATGGAATGAAACTTACAGTTTAATCTGAGAGTGAATAATTTATTTACTTTTGTAACTGTTTCTTGTCTTACAATTAAAAGTCTGACTTTAAGGCATGCTAAATGAGCCTCGGTTTGGCTTTAAACCTGACTTGTGTTTGGGGGAAGCTGGCAACACAGGCTGCACAGACACACACGGGTGGGGGAGCCCAAATCGAGTGGCACAGCTGTACCCAGGCATGAACACCACCAGCTACTCTGGCAATGGAGGTGGAGAAGCCAGGGTCTGCTTGGGTGCCCTATGGCTACAGCTGTCTTTGATTGTAGTGCAAATACATGAGGCAGTCCCTGGGGCTATCCTAACCACTAATGGGGCAGATTTTGGGCTGTGACTCCAGCCTGCAACCCTGACTGTGGTGCAGGCACGTGTGAATGCTAGCTACACTGACACACACAAAAAATATGGTGTTGACAAACTCTTGGCACTTCTTTGTTCTCGAAATGAAGGACACTTGTAGCATTGACATCGGCTGCAGCCACGCAGGGAGCCTGTGCCCATGTGCATGCTGCCTCCCTGCTGACAGCAGGGCAAGCCCCTTCACCCCAGCTGGTGGCAGGAGGGACACAAGCCAGCCCCAGCTGAGCCATGTAACACACAGCGTAGGGAGAAGCCAGTGCAACCACATCTTAGTGAAGAGTTTTCCTGTGACAGGTCCCAGTGCCTGAGCTGGCACAAACACCAAGGCAGAAGCATGCTGGACCCCACTGAAAGGTGAAATGTTCTTCCTGGGTCTGCATGAAGTCTGTGGGCTTTGCCCCTCAGCCCAGCAGTGGCTGGGCACTCCTTGCAGCTCCCAACACTCACACAGGCACCTCCTATACACAAGAACAAATCTTTATTTACAGAGCAGCAGTACAGGGAATACAAATATTGGCCCAAGAGAAGGGAGCTTCCCTCCTTCAGGGCACGGCAGCAGTGGGTAGGACACACCATCCCGGCCAAGGGCACCACATCCCTCATGGGGAAGGCCTTGCCCTCCCAGAACATCAGCATGCACCTCCAGTGCCCTGCAGGAAAGCCCCCAGAAAAGCAGGCTGGAAGACAGCCTGTGCTTTCCCTTCTGCCCTGCCCCAGCCCAGAGCAGTGAGGTGGGCTTGTCAGTGGAGAGATGGGTCTTGAGCACTGGAGCTATTGCACTGACAAGGGAAGATGGCATTCTGGACCTCTGGCTCACTTGGAAGACAAGAACCTGACGGCTGCTGCTAGCAGCAGAGCTTGGAGAGGCCTGAGACCAAGCATGGGGATAAAGCACCCACTGGGCCTCTGCTGTGGGGACTTTCAGAGGCTGGGTTCATCCCAGCACTGGAGGGCAACTGCTCCCAGCAAACCTCAGAGCTGCTCCCCAGGTGGTGTGTAGATGTCCTACCCTGAGGTCTTGCCCAGAGAGGTGAGACCAGACTCCTGCTGCTGCTGAGAAGGCACAGGAGCCACCCTCACAAAGGATGGGTTGCTTTTAACACTACTTGGCTAAAGATGGACTCCAGAAACTCAGCATCAGCCTTCACAACTTAAACCCACAGTGGCTCCTCAGCCTTGTTCAAGCCTAATGCTCCTGGGCCGTGGCGCAAGCTTTGCTCCCCTGCTCCTGGCTGGACACAGGAGGCACAAACAGCACAGGTGGAAGGTGAACTCACCCCTGCCCTCACACAAGCTGCCTGCCCTACCAGCCCACCTTCTCCCTCCACAGAAGGGAGGTGGCAGCCAGCGTGGTTGGGTCCAGGAGTACTGCAGAGATGTGAGGGACATCTCAGGGGGAGCAGTGGGGGCTGCAGGGCTGGCCAGCCTCCCTGAGGCTCCTGGCAGTTCTGGCAGGAACAAGGCACAAGGTTCAGAGTCCTGCCTACCACCTCACGTGTACTCTGTCTTCCGGATGTAACTAGAGGGCACATAGCCCTGCTTCCCGTGTGCCTCGGCCAGCCACCACTCCTGATTGCCTGTGATGTCCTCAAACTGCAGGATCCTGAGTCTCTGGTTAGCTGATACGCTCAGTTCGTTGGTGTTTCGGCCTTTGAAGGTGTAGAGAGCGTAGTAGATCTGTCAGACAGAGGGAGAGCATCAGTTGGATGGTCATACCACATGGCCTTGCTGTTGCACTGCACAGGACATGTAGGCTTTTGCTCCTCTCTCCAAACTGTGACAGCCACAGCCCCATCATGGTCTCTGCCTGTCCACTGCCCACACCTGCCCAGCCCATTTGCACCCTACTTCTGACTCTGCACCTCTGATGCTGGGAGAATAGGCCTCATCCTCCACATCAGCTCTTTAAAATAAAGCAGCTTCCACCTCCCACCTCTCCCTGCTCACTGCCAGGGACAAGGATGATTCAGCCCCTACCCAAGAGAGGGAGTCAGCCCTTGGTACCCACAGGCCGCCTGGGAAGGCTGAGGGCTCACCTGGTTGCCCTCTGACTCGCTGCTTTCCAGCCCAGAGTCTCTGTCCTCCATGGAGAGTGCAGGCCTGAGATGGGCTTTGGCCGGGTGCCCGTTGCGAGAGTGGGGGCTGCAGCCCTGCTCGGGGCGGCTGTAGCGGCGCTGGGATGTCACTGTACCAGCCTCCAGTGAGGATGTTCTGTCGGCAGAGCCAAGCTGGGACAAAGAGGGGGAGTCCACCTCTGAGGAAGGCTGCGGGGACTGGTACGGGTCTGCTGGGGAGGCCAAGTCCTGCAGGGGTTTCTGAGTGAAGGTGACGGCCGCCCCACTGGGGCTGAAGGTCAGCGTGGTGTTGCTTTGGGGAGAGGAACTACTGTGCTCTGACTCGTTGGAAGAGTGGCTGCCCACAGAGACATCTGACTGGCTGCGGCGTGGGTTGTAGGGCTTCAGAAAGGAGCTGTACACAAAGCCCTTGGTCACTGCAGAAAGGGAGAAGAACTGAGCTTAGACTGGGGTGCACAGGGACCAGAGGCGGGGACTCACAACACGGGCAGGGAGCAGCCACCTACCCCCGTTGTCTATGAGCCAGCGATTCTGGCTGCCCATGGGGTCCTTCTTCTTGATGACACCCACTATGTCTCCTTCCAGCAGTGAGACATCCAGGTCTTGGGCAGCATTGAAATTGCGGTCTGCTTGGAAGAGACTGTCTGGGGGATAGTGGGCCAAGAGGGCAGCTCGGATGTCATCTGACTGCATGAGGTAGCTGGGCTGCAGAGGAACAAGGCAGGTATGAGTGGCTGTCCCGGG